CGATCTGATGCTCTTCGGCTCCCAGAGACCAGCGTCAGACTGACTTCTGGGAGCCCCATCGAGATAGGCGTTCCTGACGCCACCTCACCCTCAGTGGACGACCCATCCGCTCCACTGTTCTGTTTCTCCTTCCTTCGGTTTGCTTCCTTTTCCGTTAGGCTTGCCTGTTTTCGTTGTGTTTGTCCGATCCGATTGTTTGTATTTTCCATAATAATCCCACAAGTGGGGGAGAACTAGAGGTCCACCCGGGCAGAGATCCCCCATTACCCGGGCAAGCGTAAGTTTTTAACCCAACCGAGGGGTCCGCAGGTACCTCGGCTTGGAGTGCGCTCGAGACTGAACTTCCCATCAGCCATGCATCCCCTGGCCACGCACCAGAACACGGGATTCGGGGAATTTTTTAGAGAGGTTATCTTCCTCGCGGTCCGGGCGGTTAAGCCAAGACCCTCGCCCCCGATCAGAGCCGCGAGACTTAACCACAGCGCTCTTCTCGGGATTACGATATGCCGACGGTTGACAGGGAGACTACGTCCCCCTGCCTGCTCGGTGGTAGTGTCTGTACACGCCGAGCCCGTCCTCCTTTCTCCACCGCTGTCAGCGGAGAAACTGTGGCCCCTACAGGGCCCCGCCATCTGGTTTTTTACCGAGGTTTCCTCCTCCATGCTCCGAAGAGCGAAGAGCCAGCAGGGCAACCGGCAGACACGCCCACCCTGCTGGACCAGGCCTTGCCCGAGAGCCGATGAACGGCTACCTCTTCTGCTAGAATATTAGCCGCTGGCGATAATCCTCTCCTCCAAGAGGACAAGGAGGAAATAGTGTTCCAGACAGAACCATCGCCAGCGTTTCCAGGGTGCACCACGGGGAGGTTTTCACCCCCACAAACCCTATACCAACCCGTCTAGCCAGCGTGGTATAGTAGGCCAAAACCTCCTTGCTAAGAAGAGGCCTTTGTCCAGCAGTGGACTAGTTAAGGCTGTTGATGATGATGATGATGTGGTGACAGATTAAGAATACGGAGTGTCACCACCCCTTTTCATCCCCTGGGTATCGTAAGAGCAGACTAAGTGAGCAAACTACGCAGGAAAACAGCACTGTAAAGAAAAGGAAAACTTTAAACAAACCCCATACCAACCAATCTGGCTAGCGTGATATAGTATGGCAAAACCTTATTTCTAAGGAGAGGCCTATGTCCAGCAGTGGACTGATTGATGTGAAAATGTACCCCTTTAGGGATACAAGTTTATGTATGTATAAGGCCCAGATATAGTCGTTTATTGAAAGATTGTATACAGCGTGTGCCTGAAATTAGAAAGACGAATAAATTCTATAATCTTCTATATCTTTGAACACGTAAAAATATAATAATATAATATTGTACCACTTACACACAACGGCGTATAATCCCAAACGGAGTGTATACAGCTGATATAAATACATATATATACTATTTATTAGTAAATACATACATAGTATACATAGAAACGCTCAGACCAAATCAAACATTAAAATGTTCATGTACACAAATGTTTGACTTGAGCGGGGATCGTACCTTTGGCATAGCAGTCCGTTACACAAACCACTACGCCATCCGACCGCCAAATCGTGAAAGTGTAAAGCCTTAAAGTCAAACAAAACTGTTCACAGATGTTTATGGTTCAGTATGAATAGAACCTTACACATGACTAAGTTTCGCAGACATTTCAAACAATTTTCTCTAGGAATTAACTGGTATGTTATAATTCAAATGTAATGATTCTTGCTTAAGAGGAAAACCGCAGGATTGGTGTTACAGGGCAAACAGGTTACAGGTAAATGTTATGTAATGGACAAATTAACCTCCTTTAGGATGTACTAGTTAAACTCATCTCAGATAAGCTAATATTAGGTATTGCACGTTGCAAATAAAAAGATATGAGTCAGTCAGATTTACAATCAAACAATTCAGGGCCTGAGGGCCAAGTGCGAGTTTATTTCACGTCTAGTCGATCGTCACAATGACCGCCTTTGGCGCTGTGATTGGCCCGCGCTGAAATCTTCACCAATGGCAATGTCGAACACGCTCGCTGTTGAGAGCCAGTGCGTGAGTGACATAAATTTACACTAAGCCCTCTGTGCTATGCTCACCAGATTGCTAATAAACTATATTACAAATTAGTTTGGAGTGTAAAAAGCTAAGGATTACTACTATTACAGGATGGTACTAATCAGGATATAAAAGACAATTCAATTGTTTTCAAATATCATTGAAATGACTTCGAATATTTTTAATGAGTTCAACGTAAGTATTATTTAAATTTGAAACAAAAATTTTTACCTCTCAAGGTATAATTAAAGGATAATAAATATAACCTCATAGTAAATACAAGAATATTCATAGAGCTTTTTTTTAATTCATCATGTTTTAGTGGCATTGAAGTGACAAAATATTTATTTTAAAGTTAATCCATGATTCCATTATATTATAAATGTTAGTGAGTTCATATGTTTGTTACGCCTAAACCACTAAACCTCTTTTAAAAACTCTCACCAATGGAAAGGTACATTATCATCAAGTAACATAGGCTTTTCACCGCGAAAACCGACATACAGGCGGGCGCGGGAAATAATTGGTTATTGATATTTTAGTATTTTTCATGAATAAAGGTTTTAAATATAGACAGATTTTCTATTTATATAATCATTATTAAATTTAGAATATCTTAAAATAAATAACACTTTTAGTTGTAGCTTCGAGAGATAGCCACGACGAGTTATAAAGCTAAAAAAAATAAATCTAATGTTGATAACTTGAAATGAAATTAAGTCTCTACGCTAATAAGTTTAAAAATACCTTTGTTTAAGGTAACAATCAGCACTTAGTTATTTTGTTAAGAAATACCGCGTCGTGTGTTCCGAGTATCTCATTTGTAGGACACCACTTAAAACCATTGACTCAGTAGTACTTATTACTAAATGAAGTTGAGTAGGCCTTATCAAACGCCACCTAAGTCTATCTGAGTGTTTTAGTGTCTCCTTATCTATGTTTCTTTCTTTAATGTTAATGGACTAAACAACAGTAATATTCCAGATTTTTTTTCACTCATATTTGACTCATAAGTCTTTGACTAATTCCAAGTACTGCAATTAACTTGTATGTTATGTTAGTTAAACCAGACGTTCTGAATATAATGTCAAACTCAATAGAAATAGTCATGTATATGTGAAAGGATTGAAAAAGCATCTAAACAGTAATAGATATTTACGAGTATGTTGTCTTTAAATATGGAACAGACAAAATACTATATTGATTCTTATGTTAAAGAATCTATCTATACATCCATACAAATAAATAAAATTGAAGTGTCTGTTTGTATTGTCAAAATAATAAGTGTTTTTCACAAGACTATTTGCATCGTGCAAATAACCTTGTAAAAAAACCTATTATTACACAGATATTTATTTGTTAAAGCTAATCTATCTATTATAAGATTCTCTATCATTTGTTCTATTAAACACCAATATATTCACTACTGTCGATTTGTCCATCCAAAGGTTGCCTGTAAGAGATTGCTATTAGCAATAAGGCCGCCCATTGTACATATCCATCTGCAATATTTAACCAACTTTCTGTAATTGGTGTACAATAAAGCATATTTTATTCTATTCTATTCTAAATTCTTACAAAGGATAGTAATAATATTGATAGTAGTAGATATAACATATACAAAAAAAAACCCAATGGATGTCCTGCATGAATTCTGTAAAATATGTTTTTCTTGTAACAGTATACGAAACGAGAAATTCCAGTGGGTTATCTTCTTCATTACTAAACACAACGAAGAATCAATGAACCTCGACTGACTTTCATTTTTTATTTTATTATGTCATCTTAAATCAACGCCTCCCAATAAAACCATATACTTTCTAATTATGCGTAACTATTTATTAAAAGGCCCTTATTATAAATCCATTCATTGATTTATCTCTAAACCCACCATGAAAACCAAATAATATTGAAACAGTTCTAAAAGTGGATCAAATCGATTTGCTAATCCCATCAGTCTTGTGATAGTGACAAAAGCGTCTCCGAATCAATATAATGTAAGAATAAGATTACGTATGCGCAAGAGTCGCGGACATTTAACGTAATTGATTACGTCACTTAATGTACTGTCGAGTTAAAAAGTGTTATTTTTATTTAACTACAATTAAGTGAACTACATCTTATAAAAAAAAAAATTGCTCCATGTAGACACAAATGAAATTGTTTCGTTTTGTTAGATACTTCTATTATTATTTTAGATTTAAAAGTTAGTATTCGTAGCGTGGTAAAAAAAATTGTAAATAAATTACAATAAATATTTGAATTGTAATATAGGGTATGAACTTACAAATTTATTTATTTTTCAAATTCTTTTTTAAAGATAACGCTTTTGTAAATACCTGTACATCCTACAACCAACATAAAAGCAAAGGCAGGAGATATAAACACGTCTAGCGTCTGAATGACTATAATTTAAGACATGTGAATTTTTCAATCTAGTGTCTATTACATTTATACTGGAAATGCTTGGCTATAGATACGCAATTCTAGTATGTAACTTGTTATTTTCACATGGCGCAGGTGTGAAAAGAACATTCCTAGTGGGAATTGTTGTTACATGTATAAGGTGTCAATTAGATTATGTTCTTGTGTAACGCTGCGGAACTCAATGTTGTTCTGATACGTTGTTTAAATTGATCTAATTTGACATATTTAGTTACGACAAATAATATATATATATATTTATGAATAGAATGTTTGTAATTCCATAAGGTAGCTTTTTTTTCAAGTTTGAAACTTTCTGTGAGTAGCGCACTCTGTTGTATAAATTTAACACTACTACGAATGCTAGTCATGTTGATGAAAGAGAATCTACTTATCCTAATAGTTAGAGTTTAAAAACATAGATGGCGCTGAACAGAAATTTAATTAACCTGAAGGTGAAAAAATCTTTAATATTGTTTTTTTTTATTTACAGAGTTATAAAGAAAAAGATGCTGGCAAAGTGGTGCTATATACTACTACGATGGGCATCGTAAGGAACACGTACCAGCAGTGTGTCCTCGTGAAGAAAATTCTCAGAAACTTACTGGTGAAGTATGAGGAACGAGATATCTTCATGAGTACAGAGTACCAGGACGAAATTAGGGATAGAATGAGGAGTGACCAGATCCTTGTGCCTCAGATGTTCATAGATGGACAGCATATTGGGGTAAGTTAAAGTCATCTCAAACTTTGACACTGTTAAAATATTACCTTAAAAATAAGTGTTTGAAAATTGGGTACTAAATATCTCTGAATCAGATTATTCTTTGATCTAGGTTAAAACCTATTAGTAGAAATACGAACCTTGTAAACACTTTTTAAGACAAAACAAACGAAAAACCAATTGATATTATCCCGCACCTACTCCTTTTTGCTTTCTTTTTATTATTATTTTGTGCTGTTATTCCCTCGGATACCACCGACTCGAACCAACCAAAACTCGCACGCCGTCTCGGTTACCAGTTGCCGGGGAACCAGGTGTACCCTAGAAAGGAAATCCCTGGTACCCCGACGCACCTCGGGCCATCTACGACGAGTAGGACATACAGGAGGGGCCTGTGAAGGAACCCCCATGTCCCCTTTGTGCTCCCAAAACGGCGCGCGGTCGCCATCTCTCCGGCCACCACCAACACTGGCACATTATTACTATTTATTAGCATTTCCTACCAGAATCGACACGAACCAAATCATGCCCATGCAACGTCGATTTTTATAAAGTATATCAATCTATAATGTTGTTTCCTTTGAGTTCTTGAGTGAGTGAAATGAGTTCTTTAACAGCATCCAGTAACTTGTTTATCAATAATTCAAAGTATGGATTAAATTTAAACAGATTGTGACAGCCGTTAAGTAAATAGTTCTGGCAATAAAGTTACAACATCATAACCACATAGCTATTTCATAATACTAATTCACACATACATAGGTAATACAAATACTAATTTCCCTAAAACTATTGGGTGAATTTTAACTTTAATAACTAAATAAAAAACTTTAATAGTCCACTGCTGGATATAGCCCTCTCCTTAGAAAGGAGGTTTTGGCCTACTATACCAACTGGCCAGACGGGTTGGTATAGTGTTTTTTTTTAAGTTTTCCTTTTCTTTGCAGTGCTGTTGTCCTGCGTAGTTTGCTCCTGTTTAATTTACTGATACTTAATGCAAGTTCACAAATGGACACACACTTACAGTATGTGTCACTAGCTTTTGTTTTGTAGCTAACGTTAACAGCTATGTATCTATCCCCAGTACAAAAGTTACACCCTACTGTTACATCCCAAGACGAAACTTACCTTAAGTCCTTCTTTGTACTCCTGACTCTGTATTCTCTATCGCTATTGCATGAGGAGTAGCCCGATGAACTATTCGGCTTTATGCCATCTTTCAACACGAGTAAACTTGCCCATAATTAGGATAATTGGCGCTTGGAGAATTGGAGGCAAACCCTCGCACAATTAACCAGCAGAATAAATTGTCGCCTGCGGTATTGCCGGATTTACACGACCTTCAAACCTCTAAGAGCGTGCTCCGACCCCAAAGCCGGCAAGTACCTACTTAAGACTCTCGGAATTCATGTTTTCACTTGTTTGACCCCTACATCATATAAAAAAAGTAACAATAGAGAGAGTTGTGGTTAATTAATAAGTATACACTTGATAGTCAATATAGGACGAACAGTGTAATGTAATCATTGGCATTTGTAAATAAGCAATAACAAACAAAACAAAATAAATAAACAAACGATCGGATGTGTATGTACATTAAGTATTTATATATAAGGTTGCCATGGAGTATTTTACATATTAAGTTGGAGATTTGTAGTTTGTAGTTCTTCATAATTGTATTCGATATTTAAAGAAAAATATTTTGGTCACTTGAAGTCTGAACTGCACTTCATAGCAGTGAACTATTGCGGTGAACCGAACCCACACCCTATGGCTCAGCATTCAAAATCGCTAATCACTTCAGATCCGCCAGCAAATATAATAATTTAAACTCGTTAGGGTGATAAATGAATGTGACTTTTAGTTTTAGCAATTTTTTAAATTAAAGTGACGTCAGAATGTCTACATAACCCTTTCATTATTTTTTAATTGGACAAAGATAGCAAAAATCATAAATAAAACAATAAAAATATCAGATACGTGTGTATTATGATAATGTCATCTTCTCACACAAGTTCCAGTCGTAACGGACGGTCGAAGTTCTCACCACAGACATAATAAAACCTACCTCGCAATACGACGGTATTTTCCCCCTTATTGCGATCGATAAACCTCCACCTGTTGCTCCAAATGTTTGGTTGTTACCGACACGCGTAAGATTCACAAACAATGTGTGTGTGTGACAATGAGGATTTGAAAGAACTGTAGAGATCCTACTACGGATTCTGATAATAATTAATATTATATTCGATCAAACACTCCAATAGAGGTGAAAATTAGTGTACCTATTGAGATGAAACTAGGAAGACTGAGTACTATAATTATTGTGGGTGCATTTTAATGTAATAATATTTAAGACATCTGAAACCCAACGCAATTTAGTTTCAAACCAATCACAGCCTGACTATGCAAACTAGATTGATTGATAGAATACTTTTATACTTTTTTTTTGTAAATACATTGTATATTTCACATAGAAAACACCCAATATTTGCAGATCATACAAACATTTGGTCCGAACCGCGAATCGAACCCGAGATTTCAGTACAGCAGTCGCATACGCTACCTCTGCACCACCGAATCAGTCATAGCTTTAGTTACCATACAGGCCATATGGCACCATAAATTGATTTCCCAAAAATCGTAATTAAATTTAATACGTTAAAATTTAGATCGTTACTGTTCATAGATTCTGAGGCGAGGGATTCAATTAGCAAAACGCCTATCAAATGCATCATCATATTTATTTGAAGGGTGGAGATTTGTGAAGGAGCTTGCAGTTGCGGCGGAATAAGTGCTTATACAGAATAAAATATCTCTGTTTCTCAAATATACTTAGAAAGACATAGTTACCTTTGGTCCCTTTTAGATGTTCACTGACAGAAGAACCACCGCTTATGTGGAATGAACAGGACTTAGATTCGGTCCGTTAAAGCTTAATAGCAGGTGTGCCATACTACCCCACGTGAGGCCAATGATGACACGGTTTTTAATACCCTCGCTGTAATAGAGCACAGTCACGTAAAATTTTACCTGTGGAGTTCTAACGATATGAATACCGTAGTAGTTAAATAAAGGATCGCACGCATTCAAGTCAATAGCTTGTTAATAGCTTGTTCAATCACAGTTCAATTATATCGTAAACTCTCTCCAAAAATGTCATCTTACTTAATCGTTAGTTATATTTAAGAAATACGGAAATCCCAAGACCACAAGGTGGTCCGATGACCTGGTGAAGGTCGCGGGAACCCGTTGGATGCGAGCAGCACAGGACCGATTGTTGTGGTAAAACTTGGGGGAAGCTTTGTCCAGCAGTCTATGGGCTGAGAAGAAGAAGATATAAGAAATTTTAACTAATGTCATTTCGATCTTTAAAGAGATAGATGGCTTACTGGTACTCTGGTTTAAAAACATATTTATGCGAAAAATTTCCATTACAATAAATGTGAGGCCACAATATTATAATATGTTTCTTCATTTTAAAACTCAGTTTTTAATTTTAAATATTAGAAACATTTTACACAATTTATCATTTATCGCTTCTTTTTTACCCTCATCAGAAAACGTAAGCGTTCGTTTCGCTAGAGTGGGTAGAAAATGTACGAAAAAGAATCTAGTCCGAGAAACTAACAAAGCGATGTATAAACATTTAGTTTTTAACATTTAAGAATAATTGTCTTATTCCCATTAGTGGAATTCTGAAGGAACTACTTTTAAAGTTTCAATTTTATTTTATACACATATAATCCTTTTTGAAAATATCTTTTTATCTGTAAGTAATATTAGCTTCTTACTTTGAACAGCTTCTTTTCTACGAGACCCAGTAAGTACCATTCAGTTACAGAAACTATGTACGAGAATATATTTATTTTTCTCTGAAATGCTTATACGAGTAATACTATTATTTCCATCTTTGGATAAAATAAATTAGAAAAGAAGATTTCAGACAAACAATCCACTTACACATTACTTGCGAAACGAACAATAATTAGGTTAGTCTATATATAATTAAGTGTGTAATCCTCTATTCTTTACATCAGCATCACTCAAGAACTTAAGACGAGTAACGTTTGAATTTGAAGTTTGAAACGTTTTGTAAGGTAAAGTTGTCTAGTTTCTTGTAACATTATAAAGGCTCTGTTCAAAATAACATCTAAGTATCGTATACCTCGAGGCAACCTATTACCTAATTTACTAAAGCATTGAATAAATAAATAATATTATATTTCCAGCTTAAATAATAATAATAATAATGTTTATTTCATCTCCACAATTTACATCATGATATACATCTTACAGTTGACAAGAAAATTCACAAGAAATTCGTAATTTGTAAGAGATCTGCAGTCTAACTAATGATATAGTACCTAACCTTGCCTTTCATCTGCTTACTCCTGTAAATGCGGCTGCTGAAATACATGATAGTACTACGTTCGGATAGCTACTGACTCCTTCCAAATGATACAACTTACATTCGTTCAGTCGGTGTGCAGGCAACGCAAGTGTTCAAAGAGGAAGTGCATCTCTGCATTATGTTCTTGTGTAAACGGGTCGTGTAAACGTTGGATAAAACGTTTTGCCAATTCGGATGGATTTAATCGATTTCATTTCTTTTCCGAGATGTTTAAATTAAAGTTCAATTTTACGATTATGTTTCCGTTAAAAGAGTGCCGTTTCCAGAATTGAAAGGAATAGTGATGTAACTTTACATAAGTACCTATGTAATGGATGTTGAGTATGAATGTGTGTTGATCTATGACTTTGGGACCATTAGTTAAGAGACGTTTTAAAGAATTTTATGAAATAAACATAGTTTAACTTTGAATTTGATATTTTATAAGATAGGTATGGCTAAACTATACTTTGTTTCGCATTTTTTGGCGCGCTTCATTGACGTTTTCTTTGATGTTACAAAAAATCCAAACTGTATCATGAGTGATTTCCTTTCTTTAGAAATGATATAATATCTAATCTAATATAAATAATATCTGATATTTTTTGAC